TCTCTCTCTCTCTCTCTCTCTCTCTCTCTCTCTCTCTCTCTCTCTCACTCTCTCCCTATACACATACAAACTTATATAGAGGGAAAATTTTGCACTTTTCAAGCCCAAGTTTATGCTCTTTAGCGAACTTTGATTATATCCGCATAGGACAGGTAAAACGGTGTAAGGTGCATCGTGTGCCAATGTTCCGTCCCCTGCACGCGCCTGTTGGCTCTGGAATGGCTATCGACATGAAAGCCGAACGCCCTTTTCATGGTTTCACAAACTCCATTTCCCGCTGTCGTTGGCACTTCTGTCGATGGGACTCTGGCTATGGCTGTGGCTCTGGCCTGGCTGCAGTTGTTCCATCCACAGACACGCCCACCCGCCCACACACATTTCTGCCCAGTTACCTTTCGCACTTTCAATTTTATGGCCGGGGCAGTGACATGAAAAGTGCTCGAAGCACATTTTCAATGGGCCGCGCCAAAAGTGGGAGTGGGAGTGGCACCGCCCCATCGAGTGGGGCCGGCACTTGGTTACTTACTTGCCGGTCTCCTCGACGACTGTGGCCAGCATAAATTCAGTGGACTTATCGTTGACGATGACGTGGCAGTCATCGATATCGGGCGAAATGGCATTCTCGTCCTCCTCCTCGTTGGAGCCGCTGGCGGTGTTCGTGGCCGGCTCGTCGGGCATAATGCGGCTGGCATGCCGGCTGCTGTCCAACGCCGTCTCGGCCAGTCGCCGGGTCTGGGCAATATTCTCGATGACGCTGCCGCCCGTCAGCTCCGAGAGATGCGGCTTGCGGGCAGCCCTTTGCTTCCGAGCACGACTGCGCAGCGCCTGGGGAATGGGCAGGGGAATGGCACGAGAACGAATATATGGTAATTGATTAGTAAAACGTTTCACGTGCTGCGCTTGCATAACACAGGAGGAGCTACAGCTCGAGCCCGTTCAGCCGGCTCGACGAGGCCGCAGCTAATGAGTGTGTGTGTAAACAACAAATCCGACTTAGTTATTCAATGGGAAATTGTGCATTAATCAGCAGACTGCATTAATAGCCAATCTCTATTCAAATCCAAATCCAAATCCAAATCCGTTTTTGATTAGCCCGCAGCAACTCACCTTGAATATGTTCCAGTAGAGGAAGACCATGATGATGCACGGTATGTAGAAGCTGCTCAGCGAGGAGTAGAGTATGAAGTCAGCGTTGTAGAAGGCGCACACATCCGGCTCCCGGTTGGGGGTGTTGTTCAGGCCCAGCACTATCGGCGACCCGATGGCAGCCGATATCGCCCACACCAATAGTATCGTAAGGCAAACGCGGCGACTATTTTTGTGCTTTGCATATTTTATGGGCTGCGTCACAGCGATGTATCTGCGGAATGTTAGAGCAGTATGCCAGCGTCAAGGACTCTGTATGCATGTGTGTGTGTGTGTGTGTGCTGTAGCTGGTATTTGTGCAGCAGTGGCATGCATCTTACCTGTCTATTGAGATGGCGACTAAATTAAATATCGATGAAGTTGAGCATATCACATCCATGGCTATATAGAAATCACAAACAACATTAGGCAAAGCCCATGCGCCATTCACCTATAAAGAGACGGGAGACAGAGAGAGAGAGAGAGAGAGAGAGAGAGGGAAATTAGTCATATGCATGTAATTAGTCAAATAGATTGCATTCTTATTGTGACATTTGTATGTAGTCTATCCTCTTCCCACTTTTGTCTAAAGATTTGTCTGCTGTGCAGAGCCTTTACATGTCAATGTGTTAGAGCGAGAGAGCTAGAGTGCGTAGCTGAGCAAGACGCGTGCCAATCATAGCTTGCATATTAGCGCTGACCGTTTCGCGTGGCCTGCAAATACACACATACACACATACATAGTAAGTGTCTTTCACACAAACTCTGAGAAAAGACTCAGAGAGCAAGCGATTGCAACGGCTCTTTCTCGAGCTCGTTGGCGATCGGCTTGCAATCGGTTTTGTTGCTGTCTCGTTTTACTCGTGCTGCTCGCTGACCGTTTCGTTGCGTTAAATGACGCAATGGCATGTGTGTGAGTGATGTGTTTGCTTAACATGAGTGTGAAGAGTTTTTACATTGCCTCAACTCAACTTTACATTACTCAAGGCGCACAACAGAAAAAACCAACGAAGAGCGATTGAGTGTGATTTTTTTCGGTTGATTTCGCGCACAGAGCTTAGGCAATCAAACGGTCAGCTGTTATTTTTCAAGCTCTGATAACATTACATTACTCAATAGTGTTATGTTACGACTCACACACACAAATATATACATACAGAGCTATGTTTATGTTTTTTTTCGAGAATCAAATTGCATTCATTGCGAGGAATTTTAAATCAATTTGGCAGCCATCTCTCTTGCCCCAGAGAGATAGGTCATTTTTTACTATTATTTTTACATCATTTGAGTGAGTAACAATTTCGCTTTGCGAGACATAAATTTCTATTGGCTGTCGTCCTTTGTTGTGCCGCCTTTTTGGACAGAGAGCGGCAAAGATGAATGGATTCCATTTTGCCGATAGAAATTGCTATCGCAGCCAGCACAAATACATTTAACGATGTCAATTTGATCCTAAGTGTCATATGGAAAAGCAATTTAATTTCCAATTGCCGGGCGAGTGTCTGCGAGTTGCCAGCAATAATCTCATTGCTTCGCACAGTGCGCAGCCACGCTGAGTGGGAGGGTGAAAGAGAGTGAGAGTGTGCGGGGGAGAGAGAGTGTGAGGTGGGCAAACATAAATCGTGGACGGCTGTCGACCATTGTCATCTATCAATAACAATATTCTTTCGTGCCTCAGCTACAAATTAGTTTTTCGAGTCTATCGCACGGCGCGCATCTATGAGTCGAGTTTCAGTTTACTTGTGCTGCAGCACTGCGACCCACGCCCAGCCGACGCCCACTCGAGTCCATAAAAACCTCAACAATAACGCAAGGAATTTCGAAAGCCAAACAATTTGTAGCACACAAAGCACATAAAAAAGGAAGGCGAGAGGCAACTTTTGCCAAAGGATGATCAGGCCTGCCTTTGTGCGTGCGTGTGTGTGTGTGAGTGTGTGAGTGTGTGTGGAACTGACAGCCGCACACACGCACAGCTATGTCCTGGCATCCATATTTGCAGCAATCCAGACAATGTTGGTATAAATAAATAGAAAGCCGATCGGTTTATATTTAAAGTAGGCAAACAAACTCCACAAAAAGTGCAAAATATTTCAGATTACACACACACACACACACACACACACACATGCACACACGGCGCCAAAAGTTGAGCTGTGAAAGTGAAAGGCAGAGGAAAGCATCGAGGAAAAATGTTTGGAAAAATTCTGCTGCGACGGGGATAGACTTGGCTCTAAGCGAGCATAACAAAAGTTGAGCAGCGCTAAGAAAGTGGCAAAAACTTTTTGATATAAAGACATACGCACGACTGCGCCCTCACACACACACACACATACATACAGATACACGCATAGACCAGCTCACGTACACACTTATAGATATACATAATGTAACACGTAAGCTGCTCAAGAATTTTTACAGCGTTTATTTGCTTCCTGTTCTCTATTGTCGCCGCCATTATGGATACTCGCCCCGCCCCCTACACCGCCCCAGCGGCCATTGTATGCCAGATTGCGTATACGCGACGCTGGCAGCCGGCAACTGAAATCCAACTATAATTTATAATGTATTGGCATTTTGGCGAGAGAGCATTGAAAAACTACTGTGCCATGCGAGCGACAGACGCCTCTATGTATGTGTGTGTGTGTGTGCGTGTGTGTGTGTTTGTGGCGCCAACTGAACTGGCCCCAATCGATTATTTGATCGTCTAAGTGAATCAAATGCCGCGCTCCGCTACAGCCGCACTCTCCCCGACTCCTGCTCCTGCTCCTGCGCCTGCTCCTCGTCGCAGCTGTCATGCAAAGGAGAGTTGAGCGAGACCAAAAATACATTGCTGTTGATCCCATTTAAAGTTTTGCCGACTTATGACAGAATACACAGGGGAAGAGGGGAAGGGAGAGGGGAGAAAAGTTTTCAATGGCTTTCAATTTATGCAGATTGTATGCATAGGTAAAGGCATTTAAAGGTATGCTGACCTTTCAACTGACCTAAAGTCGCACACACACTTTCACTCTCACTCTCACTCGCACTCGCACTCTCTCGTTCTCCCACTGTCGCTGCTTTAAGAGCAGCAGTTTATAAAATATATAAATTTATCCATTTGCGGCCACAGAAACAGAACCAAAAGGGACAAAGCCCTTGGAACAGGCGCTGGCAACGGCGACAATAAGAATGGAATGGCATATGAGGCGGTTGGCTATAGAATAGACAACAAACATGTATACACACAAAGAGAGTAAGAGACAGAGAGAGAGAGAGAGAGAGAGAGAGAGAGAGAGAGAGAGAGAGAGA